TGGTGGCATGTGTCTGTAATCCCAGCTCTGGGAAGCTGAACACAGGCAGATCACTACAAGTCTGATCTACATAGTGAGACCCTGTAGACCCATATCAAAAAATATAAATAAAAGTAAGTAAATAAATACATTCTTATTTTAAGCCAGCACATGCCTGTAACTCCAGCACTTGGGAGGCTGAGGCAGGAGGACTGCCCTGAGTCTGAGACTAGCCTGTGCTACAAAGTGAGCTCAAAGCAGCCTGACTGCAAAAAATTTAATTAAATATAAAATAAAACAATTCTTTTGAATACAACTCAATTCTGTTTTTCAATAAAGATTAGAAAAAGGCAAAAAGAAAAAAATTCTTTTGAGACAGCGTTGCACTCAGTTGTCCAGGCTGGCCTCAAGTTTGTGATCCTCCTGCCTCCGTCCTCTGAGTAGATGCCGTCACAGGTGCACCAGCACATGGCTTTCCCAGTGCTTTTCTGACCCACCGAAGACAATCACAACCAGTGGGAGCGCAACAGCAGTAAGCACCCCTTGCATCAGACTATGTTGCCAAAGGCCATCCCCACTAAGAAGAACTGAGACTCTTCTGGGAGGAAAAGAAAATTCTAAGTCTAGCACAGGACTATCACTATTCCAAAGGCAGGGAAGCAGTCACTGCTGGGGTCACAGGAGAAGGACTCACAGCCAAGGTGCAGGGACTCCCACTGGCCAACAAACCCCAACATGAACCATAACTCCAAGCAAACAATATAAAAAGACCCATAAAACTGATACTTTGAAAAAGAAAGCCAAATCCCTCCTCCAAACCTTTAGAACTCAATCACCATCGAAGATAACTGGGCACCCACTATTGATTTTGAAAGTCTGAATTTAAGAGAAACAATTAAGCATTTATTTTAGCCTTCTTGCTTGAACTGTTTCAGTGTTTTCACGTAGCTTTAGTTAATGAGGGAAGATTCTTTACAGAAATTCCAATTTAAAAAAAACAGGAAAAGTAGACGAGCAGTGGGGGTGTGCGCTTGTAATCACAGCACTTGGGAGGGTGAAAAGAGGAGGATCCCTCGGGGTCTGATCTGTGTAGTGAGAGCCTGTACCAAATCAATCAATCTATCTATCTATCAATCTATCTATCCATCTATCTATCTTAAAAATAAAAAGTCATGGCAGGGGAAAGTAGACCAAAGGACTCAAGAGATATAAAACCAAACAGTCGTGTCATGTGAGCCTTCATTCTTTTAGGTCGGAGAGATGGCTCAGCAGAGTAAGTGCTTCCCTGGCAAGCACAAGGGCCTGAGTTCAATCCCCGGTTCTGCCAAAAAAACCAAAAACAAACGCTGAACAGCATACTTACTGTATTAACATTATCATTTTCATAAAATAAATGAATGTATACAACTCAGACACAAGAAAATGGAGTCATTAAGAGATTAATTTTTAACTTTTTAAAGTGATGTCTACCAGCCTTTCCCAAAATGGTGTGCAACTTTTCAGCTTGATCTCTAAGTCAAGTAAAAAAAAAAATGTGGGATGACACTGGTTATACCCAATCTGATGGACACCATGAAATCTATTCATTGTTCTGTTTTTACTCTTATAGCTTTAAGCTATAAAAATCTGTCATTTTTCTTTTATATAATAATATTATAAAAAAGTACATAGGGCCAGAGAGACAGCTCAGTGGCACAAGTGCCTGCTTGGCAAGCACAAGATCCTGAGCTTGATTTCCAGTACCAAAAATAAATATATGAATTAAAAATATACATGTAGAGGGAATTTGATTATTTTCAATTTTAGCTGGGCATGATGGCACATGCCTGCAATCCGGGCCCCTGAAAGGCAAAGGCAGGATTGGCACTAAGTTCAAGGCCAGCCTTGGCTACAAAGTGAGTTCAAGGCCATCCTGCAATATATAGTGAGACCCTGTCTTAAAAAAAAAGATTTACAATAATAAACTTCATTTATTTTTGTCTCTTTAAAATAGGGCCTCCCTACGCAGCTCCAGCTGGCCCTGAACTCACTCTGCAGCCCA